CTGATCTCATTTTCTATGGGTTTGTTTGTTTGTTTTTGAAGTGTCATTGACCTACAACACTATGTTAGTTCCTGGTGTACAACATAGTGATTTGATATTTATATGCATTTCAAAATGATCACCATGGTAAGCCTAGTTACAAGATGTCACCATACAAAGATATTACATAATAATTGAGTATATTCCCCGCACTGTACATTTCAGCCCTGTGACTCATTTATTTTGTAACTGCAGGTCTGTACCTCTTAATCTCCATCACCTATTTCTCTCCTCCTCCCCACGCCCCACCCCTCTGGCAAGCACCTGTTTGTTCTCTGTGTCTATGACTCTTGTTTCTGTTTGGTTATGTTTGTTCATCTGTTTTGTTTAGATTCCACATGTGAGTGAAATCATACAGTATTTGTCTTTCTCTGTCTCACTTCACTTGGAATAATACCCTCTAGGTCCATCCGTGTTGTTGCCGATGGCAAGATTTCATTCCTTTTTATGGCTGAGTAATATTCCAACCCCTCTTCTTCTCAATACTGTGTCAGTTTGGCTGCAGTAACAAGCAAACCCAGTGTCTCGGGGGCTCACAACCACGCACATCTCCTTCGCACTCACATCACCTGTGGGAGGCTGTCGGCTATGGCTCCACTGGCTCCACCCCACAACTCCTCATCCCAGGGCCCAGGCTGTAGGAGCTTCCCCAGCTGGTCAGTGCATTCTTCTGACACACTTCTCAAGCAAGTGCGATGATGGAAACTCTCACTAAACTTCTGCTGAGACCTGGAATACATCACCATATTTATTCACATTCCGTGGGCTGAATTGTATTACATGGTCAAGTCCAAAGTCAGTGGGATGAGAATGAACATTTCTCCCAAAGGGAAGGAGGGTGCGAATGAGTGCAAACTACCATGTTATTTCATATTGTATGTCAATATTGTCTACCTCCCTTCCAGCAGGTCTCTCCACAGCTCAGCAGTCTCCTCTGAGCAAGCCTCTTCTGTTCTCCTAACAACCTTAAGAAATAATCGCAGTGGCAAAAGTAACTAACTTTTACTGCCTCTTTCTTTGTGCCAGGTGCTCTTCTAAGTGCTTTACAGGCGTTCTTTGAGTTAACACTCACAGCAGCCCCATGATGTAGCGACCACTGTTATCCCCATTTTACGTGTAAGAAAACTGAGGCTGAGAGGTTGACTGGCCCAAAGTCACACAGCTGCTAAGGGTCAGGTCTGGGATTCACTCCGAGGGCGCCAAAGGCTGTACTTTCAACCCCAGCAACTACACGGCTTCTTCCTATGAGGCCAGGGTGGGGTAGCGGCCCCATATGACAGATGTGCAAACTGAGGCCCAGAAAGTTGACTTGACCTGACCAAAGATACACCCTGTAAACAGAACTAAAATAGAAATGCCCTGGTGTCTTCTCCTCCTCAGCAATCCCTCCCCTACACCAAGCTGGGGACATTGTCGTCTAGCACTTTGGGGACACTGACTGCCACCCTGGCCTGGAGCCGTGCAGAGGGAGGGTCCAGTGATGGTGCCTGTCTGTCGGCCTTTTCCTACCGGTCAGCCCAGGGTGGTGAAGTAGCCCAGTCCTGGCTTGACCACTGACGACCTCAGGCAGGTTCCTCGACCTCTCTGAGCTTTACCTTCCTGGTCTACAACATGAGAGCCACAGAGCTTAGAGCATAATGCCAACCAGAGTAACTGGCCTGACTTTCACTCTTCAGCTCCTCCGCTCTAAATCCTGCTGGATTTCTTTGATTAAGACACTCTTGCCCCCCACCCCACCTTCACTTCCTACCCCACCCCTCCATCCATCCTTCTTGGGTTCGTGTCACCTCCACTGCGCACTCAGACAGGTTTGAGAGGAGGCGTGAGATGAGGTGGGGGCCACAGTCCCACCTGAGCTTCAACAAAGAACCAAATGGGCTGGCTCTCTGTGCTCCCCACCTGGATACACGTATACACGTGTGCACAGACATGCCCACATGTATATATCACACGCCCACATCACATGCTCATGTATACAATACGCAAAACACTTACATACCTGTACACAAATACACACATACCCATGTACCTGCATGCACACATGTACACACATATACACACAGGCACCTGTACACATATACAGAGACACACATACGTATCCACACAAACACACACATACATATACGCACCTACACAATATACCTGTGTATATGTGTACACACATACCCACAAACACACACATGCACATGTCCACAAATAAACACACATACACACAAATATGCACACATACATACACTCCATGCAGGCACAGCCACTGGACAGGGTGTGGCTTGTGGGGCATATAATGCTGTCTGTCCAGCCAATTCCTCCCCTGGAGGGTAAGTGCTCTTCTGGGGGCGGGGCCTTGGTCACAGCCAGAGAACGCGACAGAACATGAGGGCCCGTGGGGGTCAAGCCCCTCCCTCAGCTGCGTCTTGCAGGTGAGGAAACCGAGGCCCAGAGGATAACGGAAGCACACAGCGCTCCAATATGCCAGGCACAGTTCCAAGCTCTTCACCTGTACTAACCCACTGAACACTCACAGTCACCCGCTGAGGGACCCACTGTCTCGTTTTTCCAAACAGGAGAACTCAGGCCCAGAGGGTCACGCGTTAGTGGTCACTCAGTGGGCAGTGGAGTCAGGCTCAGGCAGCAGCTCCTCACGGGCAACCTGGGCTGCCCCTCTGCTGCCATCGCTGATCGTGTGACACTGGGCAGAGGGACCGTGATCGCTGCCGAGTCAGGTCAGACCCAGCTTCCGACCCCTGCTGCCTCAGGCAGCCTGGCTGAGAGGCTGTCGTCTGACCACGTGGTAATTTTCAGGGACACGAGGACACGCCAGACAGGCGGGCCGAGGGAGGGAGGTGCCTGGGCGGGCAGTGCCATGTGTGCTGCTGTGGTCTCTGCCCCTCCTGCTCTCGGGGCATGAATGGCCCGCCTGCCCTGAGACGGGAGCCCAGTGTCTGAGCAGGCCGGATGCCTGGTTTCTTTGGCAACTCAACTCACATTCTCCTGGCTGTGCTTTCTGGGGCTTGATTTAAGTTTAATTCCAGCCGGAATGACTGGAAATACCAAGTATTTTACTAGGATTAGTGCTTGGCTGGAAGGGCCAACTGCCTCTGCCACAACCAGGTACCGTGGACCTCAGAGGAGCGTTAATCCCAAGGAAGTCTCCGTGACTCAGCCTCGGGCGGCTTCTCAGCCCCAGGAGGGCCAGCCCAATGCACAGACGCCCAGGCTGGGCCTCCGCTGAGCTGGGGGAGGGGAGAGGCGGCACAGGAGGGCTTGCCGAGCTCAGAGCAGCCCTGCTCTCCCACCCACGGCAGGGACCCATCCAGCCCATCCCCCAAAGCACACGCTTCGGGGAGAGCGGGGAGCAGAGTGGGGCGGGGCAGGCACACAGTGCGGGCACGGCTCTGTGCCGCGGGTGGGGGGGGGGGGGGGGGGTAAGGAGGCACCGTCTGGTGGTCCGGGGCACAGCTGCCAGTCTCACCAGCACTTAGTTTCTCGGCCCTGGCCACGTCTAACCGCCCTGAGCTGTGGTTTCTCGTCTCTAAGTAGGGATGATAACAGCACCTCCCACGCAGAGCGGAGCGGAGCGAATACGAAGATTAAATGAGGCAGGGTTTTCAAAACACATAGCACAGTTCCTGGCACATGGAAAGCCCCAGATAAATACTAGGGATCAATGTGAAACATTAGCTTCTCACACCTGCCAAGCCTTCAAGATTCTGTGAAGGAAAACAGTCAAAAATGTGAAGCACCTCCCTTCCCAAGGTAATGGAGCTGGTTTTCCTTCCTACCTATTGGCTCCAGCCTGACAAAGGTGTCTACATCAGAGGAAGGTCTTCTAGCAACGGGCTCAGCCCCACCTGGCAGCTCCGGGCTCCCATGTAGCCCTCTGAGCCCCCATGTTGCTGCCCAGAGCAGGCATCCCTAACTGCCTCTGCCCTACCCCATGGGCTTGGCTTCATCTTCTCTGCCCTGGTTCCTATGCCTGGTTCTGAGCAGCCCTCCTACTGGGATCCCAGGTGCCCTCCGAGGTAGAGCCCTGCTGTGAGCCCCACGTGGTGATCAGTGAGCAGGTGGGGAGATTGCCCTTCAAAGCTGGGGTCCTGTCACCCACAGACAGATCCCCACTAGTTTCCTGGGCATCAGCTGCCTGCAGGAGTCCCTGCCCTGCTTCTCGTCTCTCCACGAGCTGCTGGAGCAGCTCTAGACCCTGCTGTGTGGCTGGGAGGGTCCTGCAGTGCCTCACACCCAGTCCCAGACTATCATAGAAGGGGCAAACCCAGAGGGAGACAGGGGAGTTAGTTAGAGGAAAGACAAGAGAAGGCCACGGGGAAAGATTGGCAGGGGCAGAATGCAAGCAAATGCCAATCAGACATAATTTGAGGCTGAAAGCAGTCAGTGAAGGATTGCCCACACTGCTCTCCAAGATGAACGTCTTCCTCCCGCAGTCACACTTGGTCACCCCAGCAACCCAGCAAGGACTTTATCAATGATCCTAGCTCTGTACCCATCATGGAACTTCAGTCCTCCAGGCCCTGCAGAAACTTTTCTTTCTGCTGGAATACCTGCCAGCCTTCCCTAGTATGCACCACGAGTGAACTCCTATTTATCCTTCAAAACCCAGCTCAAACGTCACCTCCTCTAGGAGGCTTTCCCTGAACACTCCCTCCCATATTCAACCACAGCCTCTTGAGATGCCCCACAGTGTGCTCTACATCTATGTACCTCTCTTTGTTGTGGTTTATTGGCTCATATGTCATCTTCCCTTGCTGTGCTCGGGGCAATGAGTGTGTCTTATCCATCTCCACATCCCCAGCTCCTGTCACAGAGCTAAAGCACGGAGTGAAGCCTCAGCTAAAATTTGCTGACATGGAAAGCAACAACAACAAAACAACATCTTTTGACTACTCCTTCACACCTCCCTGGCGAAGCAAATCTAAAGTCCTAGCTCAAGCCCTCTGAGGGGCTGAATGTCTAAGACGGACACCAAGACAAAGTCCCAGACATCACACAGCCTCATGGAAGTATCAGGACATGCCCGGCCTCTGGAAGGGTGAGCCAGAAGGAAGCTTCCAGAGGGGCTCAGAAATCACCCACTGGTGTCCTGCAGTGAGAAAGCCACCCTGGCCGGCGGCGATCTGAAGCACCAGCAGCATGAAGAATGAAAAGGCAGAGTGTGGCCAGAGCTGAGAGGTTGGCACTTGCAGGCTAGGAACCGAGGAGGAGCGGCCCTGGGGGAGAAACCGAGCCAGGCGTGACCCCTAGCCCGGGGGGTTCCAGGCAGAAGAACAGCCCACTGATGTCCCTCTCAAGCTATAGGAATATTGTGGGCACTGAAACCCCATCTCCTAAGAACACTCCACACTGCTCCAGTCCCAGGCCTGACTCCATCGGGACCGTACTGCCAGGGGCGTCAAGTCCAAGCTCCAAGTCTGCCTTCCGGCCCCCGGCACAACTGACCACCCCCACACCGCTGCCGCCAACGGCTGTCCTCACTGAATTCTCTCCTCTCCCACCCACCGCCCAGGCCCAATCTCAGCCACCATCACCTCCCTCCCAGCTCCTAGGGGCCAGCCTGTGGGGCTGTCGCTCTTCCAGCCTTGCCCTTGAGATGCACCTGGACAGTCCCCGTTAACATGTGGATCAGACCCTGTTTAAAAGTCTCCCTTATCGATCCTCCTCTGGAGGAGGCTGCTTTGGGGAATAAGGTAGGGGGTCAAATGCGTGAGAAACTCCCTGTCCAGCAGAACTGATGCCCTCTGCTCACCTCTCCAGCCACTTCTCATCATTCCCACCATACGACCTCTGATGCTCAGATGACAATATCCTTTCCTCCTTTTTCCACCTGCCGCCCTCCAGGTCTGTCCCCCCAGCTGAGGGAGGCACCCCCACTGTTCCCATAATGCCCCCCCCATCTTTGTTATCTCTCTCTCTCTGGACTGGGGATTCTGAGCTCTAATTCCTGAGCACCGGGAATACAACAGCAAAGCAAACAGAAAAATCACGTACGGGATGGAGAGTACATAAGATGCATACGTAAGTATATACGTACACAAGATGTCTGGTGCTGGGGAGAAGTTTTAAGCAGGACAGAGGGAATAAATGCTGGTGGCGATTTAAACAGGATCCGAGGAGGCAGGGAGCCAGCTGTTGGATAACTGAGGGAACTTCGTGCGGTGGGGAAATGTTCTGTATCTTGGCTGTGGCAGGAGGCTATGCAGTTGTATACATTTGTCCAAACTCACCGAACTGTATGCTTAAAACCTGTGGATCCTACTTGTATAAATTATATACCTCAATAAATCTGACATCATAAAAGAGTGTCCCAGACAACAGAAACCTAGAGGCAGGAGCATGCCCAGAAGAACTGGTACAGGGTTGGAGGGGCCACAGGCCAGGCACTGTGGACAGGGCAGAGGTGATGTCCAGTGCGTGCGTGCGTGTGCCTGCGTTCCGTGTTCTGGGTGGGCCCAGGCATCAGTCTCCTTATAGATGTCTGCAGGTGGCGCACCGCTGGTGTAGGTGCTGCTTCTCAGCATCTTCCTCATTACCTGTGCTGGCAGCCCCCGGAGGGCAGGAATTGTGCTCTACTCATCCCTGCATCCCTAGGAGGTACTGAGGAGGTGCTCGGTGCACGGTGCATGGAGATTAAATGGAGCTGATTCCCACTGAACCACGTCCAAGGAATCTGAAGCTGTCTGCAGCAGTGGACATCCCCCGTGCTGGAGGGGCAGGGCCCAGTCAATTTCACTGTGGATTTGGGCTGGGACAACCCTGTCTCTGGGGTTCACCTGTCCCAAGATGATGTGTAAGGAGGGGCCAGTCAAGGCCCGCTGTTCGTCGTGTGGATTCCAGACTCTCTCCCCCTCTACCTGACTCCGAGGGCTCCGGGTGGGGTGTGGGCCAGCAGCCCTAAGCCTGGACACTGTCAGCCGCCTCTGTCTTCAGGGGCAAGAAAAGACGGCAGAAAAAGGCTGATGAGCAACTCAGAATCCTCTCCTCCTCAGCTCAGACTCAGCTTCCTTGAATGAGCTTGAGTGGCAGAGGCCCTGCAGGCTTTATCTGTGTGCGCCTCTGGTGGGGGCTCGCGGAGCCTCACTTCAGAGACTCTGAGAGCAGAGCCTGCGGTGCACTTGGAGAGGAGAGGAAACCTCACATTTCTTGAGCAAATGCCATGTTTTGGGCACTAAGCCAGCACATCACACATGTCATTGCTTTATCTTCACTGCAACATGCAGGGCGCCAGGGTCCTTGTTTACAGGCAGGGAAAATGGGTCACAGAGCGGTTGAGTCATTGTCCAATGCAAGCGTGGCAGAACCGAGGTCTTTCTGTTCCCAGGGTCAGTGCCACCTCAGAGGCGAAGGAAGGAGGGGGCTGCTGTGAGGAAGGTCACTGGTTGAGAGGAGCTGGGAAGGGGATGGGGTGAGTGGAGTGGCAGCGGCTGAAAATGGGCTGCTTTGTCCAGAAGCCAAGGGATGGCCCGGGATTCCAGGCAGAAAAGGTGCTGTTTCCCCCAGGCCAAGGTGAGTAAGTCTGGTAGGGGCCTGGGGTGGAAGTAGGGTCAGCCCAAGGAAAGGACAGTGGCTGCAGCAGGGCTCTGAGCCAAGGGCGACCGGAGCACAAGGGAGTCCAGGAGGCCTCACTTCCAGCCTGAAGATGACAGATCCCTGTGACTGTGATTCACCAGCTGCCATGACCACAGTCACAGCCCCTGACATCTGCACGGCGCGTGGCACTCTCCACGGACCTTGCAAGTGTCCACACATGACCACGTTCCGTCTCACTAGCAGCCCCCTGAGGGTGGCAGGGAGGTGAGGCAACGAGGGCTGGAGGGCTTAAGCGGCCGCCGAGGTCACACAGGGCTAAATGGCAAATCAAGGCTTGAGCGACCCCCATAAATGGCAATGCTGATCCCCTGTCTGTCCATCTATCTGTGTGCTTCTGGAAGGCCTGTATGACCAGACTGAACGGTGGCCCTGGATGGAGCTGGTAGAGTGCTAGAGACTAAATGTTTGTGTGCCCCCAAATTCATATGTTAAAACCTAACCCCCAAGGAGATGGTGTTGGGAGGTGATTGGGTCCTGAGGGTATAGCGCTCAGGAACGGAATTAGGGCTCCTGTGAAAGAAACTCTGGAGAGCTCCCTCACTGCTTGCACCACGTGAGGCCACAGCGAGAAAAGAGCTGACTAGGAACCAGGAAGTGGGCTCCACCAGGCAGAGTCAGCCAGCACCTTCCTCTTGGACTTCCCTGCCTCCAGAACCGTGAGAAATAAATGTTTGCTGGTTAAGCCACACAGTCTGTGATATTTTTGTTATAGCAGCCTGAACAGAGTTAAACCAGGCCAAGGATGCCAAGATCTTAGCCTCTGGAGGAATAGTATCACCCTCCCTGTCCATGCTCCCTATAGGGCTCAGGGCTGAGCTGGCCAAAGCAAGTTGGGTCAATGGGCTTTTGGTTTGGGGACTGCCAAGGAAATATCTGTTTCAGCACTGGGGCTGTCAAACATGCAGAGACTGAAAACCATCCATCCATTCATTTTGCCAGCCAGCCAGCCAACAACCAGAGCTCAGGTGTGTGCATGCCTATATGAGGAGACCTCTGACCCCAGCTCATCAGGTTATTCATGGTCCTCAGCACTTACCTCTTTGGGAGTCAGGGGTGAGGGTAGTGCTTCCCTCTGGCCTTGCTGGTGGGAGCCTGGAAGGAAAGGAAACCCTGTCCTTCATTGGGCACAAATGCTGGTGCCTATGGAGCTCTGTTGGGAAATAAAAACTGCCTTCATTCTGGTCCTCATATTTATGTTCCCCCAGGTTCCCAGACAGGTCTCCAGCAGACGGACCTCGGAGCCAATAAGCTTGGGATATTGTCCTCAAGGCCTGAGCAAGCCCCTCCCTGATCCAGGCTCGGAGAAGTCTCCCTAGTACAGGGACCAGCTGACACTTTGTCACTCAGTGCTTCCCAAGCGTATCATCCCCAGGTCCCTTTTTGGGGTGTGTAGAAGTTTTTAGCCTGGCACACCAGTTGCCACGGGGCTCACTGGAAATCACTGTGCCAGAGAAATTTCCTGCCTAGAGGCTCCCGTTTCCCATTCTGGGTCAGCCCTCAAGGGCTTCGCACGTACACCTGCGGGGCTCCCAGAATCAAAGTGCTTTTTCATCAGAGGCGTTTTTGAGTGTGCAGCATGGAGAGGAGATTTGTGTTCCCTTATTCAAAACATATTTATCGAGCTCCTTAATTGCCTTTCCCTTTGTTAAGTAATTGCTTCATACGTACTTTGCAGGTGGATCCACAGGAGGCAAGCATTTCCCACCAGGACCAACACAATCCTGAGCCTTCGGCCCTTCCCTTACTGCCCCCTTCGTGGGGCTGAAGGAAAGCTCCGGACCGGGGGCCCTGGCCAACCACAGAGCCAAGCAAGATCAAGCCTACGGCCAGTGAGGTACGTGCGTGGTGAAGGGGATGTGGGGGAAGGGCTGGGGCTTCAGAGACGCGAGAGGGTGGCCCTGAGAGGACCGAGGCCATCCTGGGGTGAACGTGGGGAGGGGCCCAGGGAGAGGCCTGAAAGGCTGACGGAGCTGTGTCCTAGGGAAAAGGCAAAGGGAAGAGGAACGAAAGAGTTCCTTCTCTCCAAGGGGCAAGGAGCCCCCGAACTCAGTCCAGGTTTGGGTACCCTTCTGGAGCCAAGGGCTAAGGACGTAGAGCTGGTTTGGGGAGGGACGGCAGAAGGGCAGAGGCCTGTGGGCCAGACCAGGAGCAGAAATCAGCCTCTGCTATGACAGTAGGTATTGGGGGCCTGCACACCGAGCCACACAGCAGTCACCAGCCAGCACAGGTTCCTGTGAGCCCCTCGCCGGTGACATCGGGTGCGAACGGTGCCAGGCCCCAGCACCGTGTTGGGTGGAATCGGGAGAAGGCCTGGCAGAGATAAGCCTAACACAGTGGTCCTCGAAGTGTGAATCACCCCGGAACTGGTTAGAAATGCAGACTCTCACGCCCCACTCCAGACCCACTGAGTCAGAACCTCTGGGAGTGGGCCCCATAGTCCGCTAACAAGCCCCCAGGTGATTCAGAGGCACACTCAAGTTTGACAAACTCTGGCCGAAAGGAATCCCTGACTCTCCTTCCCCCCAGCATCCCAGGCCGCGGCTGGATCAGGGCAGGCGGGGCCTGCAGGGCTGGGCTCTCGAGAAACCCACGCAGGAGCACAGGAAGCCTGAGTGGTTAGAGTCTGTGAGGCGTGCCCTCTCCTGCAGGGAAGCCCGACAGATGAAAGGCAGCAGCTGCCGTGTTTGCAGCCTGGCTCCCCGGGCCTCGGGCCCTCCCGAGACCTGCCGCCCAGGAGGAGGCCTGGGCCAGGCACAGCCTCCCCTGCGGGGACTTGGCTGGCCCCGAACAAGACCCAGCAGGGCACCAGGAGTTCTCCACATACATTTCATCCCCTGTTATCTCCACCCCAACCTACTGAATTGAAGGCTTTCAGTACACTGGCTGTACAGATGCGGGTTTCATAGTTTCAGAGTTCAGTAACTTGGTTGATGCCACTCACTCCTAAGCTGCGGAGGTGGGTCTTGAACCCGTTCTACACGTGCACTGTTTCTTCTAGCCTCACCTCTGATTCCCTAAGTCTTCACTCTGAGGACCTGCTCCCCGTCCCCTCAGCTCGGGGGGTGCAGACTGGCATCTCAGTGGCCAGTGGGTTCCCTTTCAGGGACGGGCATTTGACTTGGTTTTCTCATCCCGGAGCATGTGAATGTGTACGCTTTGTCCAGCATCTCTCAGGAGTCTCCTTCTGGAAGGAGTCTCTCGTTCTGAAGCCTCCCCTCCTGGCCTTCCTCCCACCCCAGCCCGCCGCGGGCATCCGCAGCCATCTGCAGGCGACATGGAGACAGGCGAGAAAAGCCCACCTTGTTTCGGGTGAGGCAGCGTGGTGGGACGACGGCTCGCTGGGGCCCTACTTCGTGCTGCTCTTGACGTCTCGTTTCCACCGTGTGCTCACGCAAGGACCTCGCTTCTGGAGGAAAACAGATGTGACTGCGTGTGGGCAGGAAACCACAGGGCGGCCTCCTGCCTCATCCGTCCCCATCACTCGAGGCAGCCCCATGTGCTGACGGGGGAAACTCCCTGGCCGTGATGCTCCTGAGCTCCAGGCTCAGCCTGCGATGCAGGGCCAGGGTGACCCAAGGCAGCAGGAAGGTGGAGCTCAGCGCTGTGCAGCTGTCAGTAGGAACGGCTAGACATGCAGACTGTCGGCCCAAACCCAGATCTACTGAATCAGAGACCCTGGGGGTGCAGCCGGGCAGCCTGTGTTTTAACAAGCCCTCCCGGCGATTGAGATGCACCCCGCAACGGGCGATTCCCAGACGGCCCCCATCCCTGTTTCCAGCCTCTTCTCTCACCACAGCCCACACCCTCGCACAGCCCTCCTGCGGCGCTCACACCCCCCCCCCTCCTTCAGCCGGCACGTCCGCTTACCTCTTCCTGGCAAGCAGGCTCCAGGTTACCCTTCGTCATCCCAGATCCGACACACAGCATCTCACGTCACTTCCCTTCACGGCTCTTTTCTTCCACGTCCGACTTTCCCTTCCTGGGCTTTATGTCTGTTTTCCTAACACCAAAAAATTGAAGCCTCTGTTCATAGCGCACCTGCCTCCACCCAACATTTGTCAACTATTTACCACGGGGGACGTGGCAGCCGACAAGCAGCAGGGCCCCAGCTCTCACAGAGCTGACAGTGCAGTGGGAACTCATGGAAGAGGTGGGCTGAGGCCTTTACTGAGCCATCTCTTCACTCTCCAGGCACCCATCAGGCCCCTCCCGGCTTTGTCACCTCTCTGATCACATGCCATGCCCAGTGCCACGCCAGGCCAGCACAGCGCTTCCTCCCCAGGCCAGGCCCAGGGCTCAACGCTGCTTCAGCAAACCGGAGGTGAGCACGAGTGACACACACTGGCACACCCGTGCCCACACACACCACACTCCTCAGCCCTGCTGGGACGGGGGCAGAATGCAGCGGGCACGGCTAGGCAGGACCCTGGAGAATCTTGGTGGCTACATCGATCCTTAGTACTGGTCACTCTTGGTAGCCAAGGAAGAGGTACAAGGAAACATCCCCTTCCACTGAACGCAAAGGAAAATGGATAAAAACCATTTTCCATCTGTTTTTTGTACTTTGCCTCCTCTGATGGACACCAACACCTCACTAGGTCGTCTCAGGTGTTGCTGAATCTCCCTGTCAGTGCTGTTCTCACAGGGGCCGACCAGAAGCTGGCCCCAGCCATGGGGTCTCAGGTCTCTGTACCCTCCCGCCAATTCAAGACTGGTTGACCAAGAGTACCTGTTGCCCATCACCAGACAGTACTGCAGTGGTACATTGTGCTGGGTGAGGGTATGGTCTGTAGAGTCAGGCTGTCTGGAATCAAATCCCTAATCTACCACCTATTTACTCACTGTGTGACCTCAGACACGTTACTCGACCTTTCTGAGCCTTCATTTCCTCATCCCCCTGTTAACACGGGCATAATAATAAGGTCTATCTCATAGGATTGCTATCAGGATTAATTACTTAATACACACAGCTTACTGAGTAAATACTCAATACACGTTAGGAATTGCCATGATTGACTGGTTGGAAGACGACAGGCTCAAAGGCCCGTACTTCTCACAAGGACTGGCATTTTCAAGCAGCAGATGGTACCTGAGATCTCAGCACAAAGTTTCTGATAGGAGACTGTCAGCAGGAGGGGGAGATAATAAATCAACTCCCTCTTGATGTATTATCTACTTTACCAATTAGGCTTCCCTGGGAAGGTGCCCTGGGGATTTCCATAAACCCATAGAATAGATTCATGGAATTGAGTATTTCCAGTTACTAGTTAAGATAAGTTTTAACAAGTGTGAGATCAGGTCAGTTTTCAGGGGATCATCCCAATGGACGAGAGAGAACAGACGCCCAAGCTGGTTACTAATCTACCTCCACTGGCGTGGCCAATGCTGCTCGTGGGAATGTGGATGTCTCAGCCTTTCTTTTCTGGAAAGCCGCCTGGCAACACACGAAGAACAGTAAATGAGTTCATACCCTTTCACCTGGTAATTCCTCTTCCAGGCATCGACCTCAAGGAAATAAGCAGAGAGGTGCACAAAAATGTATATGTAAGTTTGTCCATCGCAGCGTTGTTTGCATTTTAAAATAAAATAGGAACAAATGTCAAATACTAGAGAAACAGTGAAAGGAGGTACATGCCTAAGACAGAATACTATATGGCCTTTAATAATCTCTTCAAGGACTATGTAACAGTGGCACGATGGCTGGTTTGCTCCTCTGTGAAAGAGGGTGACCACACTGAACTCACAGGCTCTCCCGAGCCTTAGCCCAGCGAGGCCCTGGGTCCAGCAGAGCGCAGGCCACCTGGTAAACACTCAAAGGGTGGGCTGCCATTACTGGGAGCTCCCACCAGCTGCCATGAGGTAAGGCCTAGCCTCCCATTTCAACAAGAAGAAACACAAAGCTCAGGGCCTGCAGGTTGGGACAAGGCTGTTCCAGCCTCAGAGGAAGTGGGTACAGGTGTGGCTCTCCCCGACACACCTCTCCCATCCTCACTGGCTAGCACGCACCCCATCTGTAGAGCCCCTTTCGACTCTCAGAGCACAGTCTGCATTATTGCTGCAGATCTCTCTGCAACCCATGAGTCCAGCTGGGCCAGCGTCATTCCAAGTGCCCAGCCTGAGAGAAACAAATTCAAATCCCGACACCACGCCACTTCGTGGCTATGTGAACCTAGGCAAGCCAGCCTCGCGGGGCCTCCGATTTCGTTTCTCTGGCTTCCGCCTCTTCCTGGAGACGCTGCAAGGAGCAGATGTGGAAGTATCCTTTTCATCTGCACAATGCAGAGTCGTGCTCTGAGTTGTGCTCTTCGGAGGAGGAAACTACGGGTTGAAAAGGCTTAAAAAAAATCTTGCTCCAGGTCCTGGGAATAGGTGGACACAAAGTTGGGAAGCACCCAGCTCTTCCAAAGTCCTAACCTTCCTTTTCTTTTCTCTTCTCCTCCTTTCTTTTTCTTTCCTTTCCTTTCTTTTTTAACAGCTTTATGCAACATAATCCCCATGCCATAAAACTTATTCCTTTAAACTGTACAGTTCACTGGTTTTTAGTGTATTCACAGAGTTGTACCCCATCGATACAATCTAACTTTAGAACATTCTTCTCACCCGCCAGAAAAACCCTGTGCCCATCAGCAGTCATTCCCCATTTCCCCCCAAGTCCCTCTGCCCAGGGCAGCCACTAATCTACTTTCTGTCTCTATAGATCTGCCTAACCTGGGCATTTCGTATAACTGGAATTATACTACACGGTCTTTCAGGACTGGCTTCTTTCATTTGGCATGTTTGCAAGGTTTGTTTATGCTGAGCATGAATCAGCACTTCATTCCTTTTTATGACTGAATAATATTCCATTGTGTGGCTAGTTTGGTTATTCATTCATCAGTTCCTGGACATCGGATTGTATTCACTGCTTAACTATTATGAACAATGCCACTACGAACATTTGTGTACAAGTTCTGTGTGGACATGTTTTCAGTTTTCTTGGGCATATACCCAGAAGAGAAACTGCTGGGTCACCCTGCTCTTCTGTGCTGTTTCTCAGAACTTTTGACATAATGTGCATTTTCCAAACTTACTTGGCCAGGAAACCTTTTTTCCACAAAGCATCTCAGATGCCTTTGGCAAAGTCTGATTTAGCCCAACCCCCCTCATTTTGGGGAAACAGAAGCCCAGGAGGGTCCAGCACCCTGCCAAGATCACACAGGAAGTGAGAAGCGCAGCCACCGCAGAAACAGAAGAAACACGTGACCATCTGCATGGGAAAGGCAAACCAGGAGAAACAGGAGGAACCCCTTAAACATGAAAGATACTGAAGAAATCATAAAGGAAAAGAAAGATGAACGTGAAGTAGAGATGATACATTTATTAAGTACCTACCGTGCTCCACATAGCTTACATTAAGGTAGTTAATTCTCACAACAATTCCACAATGTAGCCCCATCCTACAGATGAAGAAACCGAGGCCAAGGAGTGTGGCCTAGTGTGAACAGGGCCATAGGGGCAGGGCCGGGACTACACCCATCAGTCTGCCCCTAGAACCTGAACTTAAACCATCACAGCATGCTTAATCACAGGGTGGATGCCTTTTTTACCCATCAAACTGGAAACACTCTGGAAAAGCTAACTCTCCATGTTGAAGAGGATGCAGGGAAAGAAGTGCTTTCACCTACTGCTGGCAGAATTCTCAACTGACACAATCTCTCTGGATAACCATTTGGCAATATGCAGCACCAGCCTTAAAAGTGCTGATGCCCTTTGATCCAGGACTCCCACTTCTAGCAATCTGTTCTGAGGAATAAGTACAGGTGAGGACACAGGACGTTCCAGGCAAAGTGGGATCCTGACCCCATTTCACAAAATGAGAAAATAGGGGCTCAGGAAGATGAGTAATTTGCCGAGGTATCTTGGGTCACTGAAGTTGAGGGGTTGCCATGCAGGGTCAGAAGCCCTGAGCCAAGCCTAGGGGTATGGCTGGCACCTCTCTTCCAGGGGCCGTGTACGGTTCCTGTTGGAACAATCCTAACCCTCCCAGAAGCAATGGACGGCACTGGCTGAGCCCTGAGAGGGCTGGTGGCAGGCATGGCAGGGGTGGGGGTGAAGGGAGAGCCCACAGATGGAGTTTAACACATTTCTTCCCGTATACCAGGCATATGTATGTATGTATGATTATTCTTATTTGCCCAAGGCTGCCAGTGGAGAAGCCACCAGCTCATCACTGAACACTCCACAGGCACCACTACACGGCAGTTCTGAGTCCACTGCCCGCTCCAGAGTTCTGGAGGTCAGGGTCTGTGGTTTGCTCCTATCTTGATCCCCAGCCCCTGGCCCAGGTGCTGTTTGGATCACCTGAGATCAAGGAAAGAAAATGTTAAATATTTAATAATTGTTAGTTATCCTTTGGTGACTCTTGCCCATCAGATCTGTTCTGCTGCAGGACAGTGGCATCAAGGACTGCCTGAGGAACGAGTCCTCACTGCAGAGGCCTGCGGACGGAGAGACAAGCCCTATGCCCGGAGGTATGTGACCTTGTTTCCAAATTATGTGACCTCTGGAAGTCAGCTTTCCCAAGCCTCAGGTTCCTTATCTATAAAATGGCTGCAATGATAGATTGGGTGGCCAAGAGGTATTCTTCGTAAGGCACCCTGGCTTCCTCCTGATTCTTGCATTTCAGGGCCTGTCACAGGTCAGAGGGTAGATACGTGGTTACACACAGGCCTTCCCAGTCCCTCAGATCACATACTGTTTCCCCTGGGACCCATGTCCTGAAGTCAGATGGCGCCGCGCGGTTCTGTGCCAGGACTGGGAACCGGTGGATGCTGAGCCACCATACCTCTGCCTGTCTATGAGCTCTCCATGCAGCAAGGCGGGCTCCCCCCAGCACAGCTGTGGCTGCTGTCCCATCCCGGCCTGCCTGAGCCCTGCAGTCAGCACCCTTCCGGGCTAACCAGGCAGATGGCTGGCCCTCTCCCTGGCCCTCTCCTGCCCCCGACCTCCCCCGCCCATTCTCCGTTCTGTCACCAAGGTGATGCTGGGCAGTGGTCTGTGAAAGCAGAAAGCAGGTGTCTGAGCTCCCGCAGGTCCATTAGTCGTTAAGTTGGAAGTGCCCTGGAGCCTGGAGCCTGAGGTGCAAGCAGACACCTGTGCACCCTGGGGAGGGCAGCTTCCTCGGAGCGGTCTTGGAGGCCTGCTTGTTTGTTGGCCTCCTCCCAGCCCCATGTGTGCTGGCCAGCCCAGCTCATTCAGAAGTGTCCGGCCAGCCCTGCAGGGGAGATCTGGCTGGGGAGACCTGACCCACAGCTCCTGCAGGGGCTTCCAGAGGCAGGGAATATGGTCGTCAGTGAGGCAGTCCTACAGCCCACTGCCCGTCCCCCAAAATTCTCCCCCACTCGCCAGCCACAGGATCGAGGATTCATTTTTTAACATATACAATGTTCCAGGCATCAGGCTAGACCTTTGGGAGACCAATTGCAGTCCCTGCCTCATGGAACTCACAGTCTAGTCGGGGCACCGACAAGCAAAAGGAAAAATCACAACTCAGCCTAAAAAAAGGCACGACAGGGTATGTGTAGGCTGCTTTGGGAACACGCGTGGGGTTGAAGCAGGAAGGCTTCCCAAAGGAGGGGACGGAGCCTTGGATCGAATGGGGGCTGTGCAAGGGCGGCGCTGTGGACTGTGAGGCTGCACCTTGGCTCATCCAGAGAATATCTTGGTTGATTGGTGATGTCTGTTACGGAGAGAGAATAATGGCAGCGCTTGTGCCAAATACTCACTGACCCTGTATTAGGCCTCAGCACGAGCAAGCTCATCAGATTCTTTCTAAGGAGCTGACAAGCGGAACTCAGATTATTTTGATTATAGCAGATGCTTATGGATTATTTCTTATATGTCAGGCATAACCCTAGATGATTTCACGGCAACCCTCTGAGGTAAGAACTATTTTTATCTCTATTTTCTAGATGAGGAAATGGAAATCTGGAGAGGTTAAACAACTTGCCCCAAACCGCAAGTCATCAAATGTCAGTGCTGGGAGGAACCTCAGTGATCACTGGTTGAAAGCCCTTCTTTTACAAATGAGGAAAAGGAAGGCCTGGAAGAGACGTGCTTTGTGCCAGGTCATTCAGAGCCGGAAGGATGAGGAAGGTCCCCATGTCCAGCCAGCTCGAGGGTGGGCTGTGGGCAGCCAGGGCCTGTGGAGGAGAGCCAGGCGCTATTTAGAGTGGGACAGTGAGTCAAAGACCACTAACTGCCCCAAGCATCCATGCCTCCTTTTCCATTTGAATAATAAACCTCGCTGCATTTCAGCAGGGCACGAGGCTGCTGCACTAGAAACTACATTTCCCAGGAGCCACTGTGGGATGCGTGACCACGTGACAGCTTAGGCTGCGAGATGTCAACAAAAACAACTCTAAGTCACTTCCCTAAAGACCAGCTGCACGCCCTCTGTCCCCTTCCTGCTGTCTGGAGAAATGGTGACACATGGGGCAGTTGCCTTGGACACATCAGGTGTGGAGTGTAGCAGGGCTGCCCCACTACTGGTCCCTGGATGGCCTCTGGGCCTACTCAGGAGAAAAGAGAGTCCTTGAGGGTCTCATGCAGGTGATGAGATATGCATCTCGGTAGGGGTCTGTGCCACTTCTGCCCTGAACTAGCTCCCTGCCTCAACCCAACCACAGGAGACCTGGAAATCTAATCCTACCACGTGCCTAGAAGGTGGAGAGCCTTTGGAGAGTAGCAGTAGTGAGGACCACGGCCTACTCTACAGTTCTGCCTGGGCTGGTTCTGAGAAGGGCTGCCCTTGACTCCATGAAGTCCAAAAGCCACAGTGTCTAGAGCCACGGCTCACAGACTGGCCCACAGACCAGCGTGGGAGAGGAAAGGCCTCCTGTGTTCCCTGGGCCATGTACCCTAGCGTGCCCAGAAGCTCCAGATGAGCGCAGAGCTGTGTACCATCACCCCTCCTCCCCACGCCTTCCCAGCACCCAACCAGGGCCTGACCCAGAGCAGACGCTCAACTCAGGTGATGGATGGATGGATGAAAGGAGGCTGAGTGGCAAGGTGACAAGTAAAGGAACAAAGGGCTTAAGCCTCCCTCCAACGGTGGGCCTACCTGGGGCTTGTCTGCTTCCTTCCTGAGTCCAGATGCAGCTAAATTTGCTCCTAGGGTTTCTTAGTGGTGCCTGAGTATTAGACTGATATGATTCAATTCCACAGGCACTGATGGAGCATCTTTCAAATGCCCGGCCCTTTTCTGGGCTCTTCTTGGGCAACGGGAATGGATCAAGCACAGCCCCTGCTCCTCTTGGCCTGGAAGGACTAAGAGACGGTTCCGAGGAAGGAACCGCCCAGGGTGAAACAGCCTAAGCGGGATAAGACAGGAAGCAAGCCTGTGCTTCAGGAGCACTGAGGAAAGAGCAGTGACTTCTGCCGCCTGGAGGTGAGGGGAGGGGAGGGAGCTGGGAGGACGTCCTGAAGCGGTGACAGGTGAGCAAGGCCCTGAATGATGGGTGGTCCATAAGGGTTCGGGAAGGGAGGGATGCAGGTAGAGGGACCTTCCTGAGCGAAGCAGGAGGGCAGGCGCGTGAATGCCAGGCTCTGGGTCCCATAGGCAGAACAAAGAGGGCTGATCACCTCTCATTTCCAGCCTGGTGAGAGCTGACCCTCCCTGCTGCCTTGAAGCGGAAGACCTGGGCAGACCTCGCTGTTTACCTTGGAGACAGGTATCTCTCTGGGCCTCAGGTCCTTCCTTGTGAATGAGGGCCCCAAGCCGCCACAGGAGGAAGCTGCACGTGGGAGGCGTGTCTTTTGTCTCTGGGGGCTCTAGTGCCAGGTTCTCTCTACCCAAAGGGACTCTGGCACCTGTGGGGCCAGCTGGCTGGCTGGTTCCCTGAGGTCTCAGCCCTGGGGCCTGGGGTTCCCCGTTCTCTCTAAAGGTGAAATGGTGACATCAGCCAGGGCCCTGTGAACATCTCCCACTGGCTCTTCCTCCTCTTCCCAGGCGCTGATGACAGAAACGTGCCCTGACAGCTGTGGGGAGAAAGGGCCTTTGATGGAGGGGGGCTGGGAGAGGCTCGGCTTTATTTGTTGACTATAAAAATGTCAGCTCCTTTGGGCAGCTTCTTGAATCAATATTTGCTGTTCTGAGGCTGAGTTCAAATGCTCAGTAATCCACTCGGCTTGCCTTCTTCCTCCCTCACCTGGGTGAGGACTCATCCACAAGTATTTGGCAGGGCCCCTTACTGCCCAGGATGGGGAGCCTGTTCCCTGCCTTCCCACCCCAACCCTCAGAGGGGCTGCCCTGAGAGCTCTGTGGCCAAAAGGTAGCTCCCTAGAAAGGAGGGTTCCAGGAGAAAGGATTTCTGAGTTTCATTTTGTTCATCTGAAAAATGGGCAGAATAATGACTCCTCCTGCCCGGGGTGCCGTAAGTTCGAATCAAAGAAGGGATGTGCAAGGGTTTCATCAGTTGTCAAGCTGGGCAGCACAACAACCGTAATGACGACGACGATGATGATGACGACGATGGGGAAAGCCACCCGCTGAAGCTTTCCAGGTGTTACTGTGGGGCAAGTTATCCTGTAGCCCAGTCTTGTGGCAGTGATCTGAGAGCAAACAGATTCTGGGACACTTTTCCTTGGGAACCTCCACACCAACTGGTAGTTCTCAACCTCCCGCAGCTGCCCACTTGAGGTCTCTTTCTGGTAAGGGGCCAGAGGAATGTTGGTGGAGAAACATGGGACTCTGAAGGTAGATGGATCCTGATTCCCCACTTAGTGCTGTGTGCCTTTTGGCCAGTTACTTAACCTCTCTGAATCTCAGGTCCTCCTCTGCAAGGTGGAACAAAGCTTACCCGGCAGAGTTAAGTGGGGCTCAGAGACACTGCACATAAAAATACCCAGCAGGGCACCTGGCACCTAGTGGGTGCATCATAAGCGCTCCTTCTCCTGTTCCACAGTTGGCATCTCCCAGTCTAACACAATTCTCCCCCTCGCACATGGAATTTGTACTGGAAAACACTGTCCCGGACATCAGCCTGAACAACACCATCCTGAGAAACTGTGAGGCTTCTTAGCAGGCACATAAGCTCTCATTATACAGACTGCTTCCAAGTTCCTCTGTCCCCTGCCTTTGTTTAGCTTCTGAATTGGCTTGGCTGCCAGAGTTGGCAAGCAGCTTGATACCCGCAAGGCACAAGGGCAGGTGGAAGCCTGGTGTTTGATGCCAAGGGTGGCCTCGGGGTGAGGGCCACACAGCACCAGTCTGGGGCTCATAAGCATCACTGCAGATGGACGCAGGGCCCCCCAGACTCTCCGTACCTACCGCCGTTTGCCATGAAGTTCTGACGAGATGGCCATACCTTTGAGGAGGCATCATGGGGAAAAGTCTCATGTGCTAGAGGGAATAAAAAATTGTACCATTACTCCAGAAAACTGGAAGTTTCTTTAAAAGTTAAACACATATTTACCCTAATTTGATTTTATAGGGAACAACAACAAAACCACACTCCTGCATTTGGGACGTATTTTTAAATGTATCTTTTAAAATTGAAGTTATAAAGGTAAATGGTTGAAGAGTCAAATAATTCAGCATGATAAAAACGAATTATCTTCAATTCCCCATTTCCCTTTACCAAGAGGGTTATCATTTTTCAATTCTATTAGTTGTTTCTTTTAGTTTTTTTTTCAGGTTTTCAGATTTTTCAGGCTAATTGTTTCTCATCAGGAGATGAGAATTTAGGTCTCTTTAACCACCACTACTACACATACTGGTATCTCTTCCCCCACCATCCTTCCGGTGCAGCTATATCTCAAATTTTGTTGGATATTTAGTGTTCATAATGCTATGACTGAGCCATGTGCTATACGAGTATTATTTTCCCTTCCTTGTACTACTTTTAGTTTTTGTTGAAGTTTCTTGTTGAGTCATTTGTTCAGTTTTAATCTTAGGCTAGGTCCTCCAAAAAGCAGAGTCTGCACTAGGGATTAAAGTGCATAAACCTCCTTTGGGAGATGCAAATCCAGGTGGGTGAGGATAAGGGGAAAGGAAGGGAGGCAAGGAAAGATGGGAAGCAATGCAAAGTGGTATGCTGTCAGGCTTGGCAACAAAAGAGCCACTAAGAGACAGAGCAGGTTGCTCAGCAGGTATGTTCACTTGCACCTGCCATTTCTCCAGATGAGCCATGCCCAGTGACTCTATGGAAAAGAAGAAGAGAGAATTTATCTGTCTGGCTCCTTCTTCTCTCTGGTTTCTCATTTGGTAAAATTCACCCCCTGTGAATTTATTCCCTTGTACTTCCAGATTGCATTATGCAGTTCCGTAGTGGGCTGCCCACTTGGGATACCAGATCCCACACCCTGTGGTGTAGTGTTTCATCACTGGAAGTGATGGAAGGAGACGAACTCTGGGAACTGGCTAGTTGGCCCAGTGGCGGGAATAGCCAGAAGAGGCTCACAGAGTTTGTGTCTGATACAGTTTTCCATATACTTATTACTAAATGTAAGCCCAGCTCTCATCTGTCCATCTAAAAGTCCCTTGAACAGCCAAACCCATCAGGGTTTCTGTCAATTTCCACTTCCTGGAGCTCTGCCTCTGGATCCTCCTGACCTGTCTGGGACTGGCTGCTAGCTATACCTGTTGCACAACTATTGTCCTAAAATCTCCTTTCACCATAATTTGGAGACTTTCTTCCTCCCTTTCTCAAGTTGGAACTCCTGTTTCCTGAATCTCAGGTTTTCTTCTTTCTTGGTTTACACTTTTGTTTTGGTAGAGGACTGCCTAAGAAATGGGGCCTAGTATGCATACGGTGCCTACTAGTTCAATTTTGGCCTTGCTGTGAAGCCTCAGCCTTAAAAAGGCCAAAGACAGCAATAGAGACACAGACGTAGAGAATGGACTTGAGGACACGGGGAGGGGGAAGGGTAAGCTGGGACAAAGTGAGAGAGTGGCATGGACATATATACACTACCAAATGTAAAATAAGATAGCTAGTGGGAAGCAGCCGCATAGCACAGGGAGATCAGCTCGGTGTTTTGTGACCATCTAGAGGGGTGGGATAGGGAGGGTGGGAGGGAGATGCAAGAGGGAGGAGATATGGGGATATATGTATATGTATAGCTGATTCACTTTGTTATACAGCAGAAACTAACACACCACTGTAAAGCAATTATACTCCAATAATAATGTTAAAAAAAAAAAAAAGGCCAAAGAGCCAAATGCATACTTCAGCATAATTTCTTGCATTCATGAGTTTGTAATAATCAATAATCATGCGACCTTGAGAGTAACTACCATATATAATTAGTGCAAAAATGTCAGCAATATAAGTCATGCCACCCAAATTACTGTTAATATTAGAATATTCATCTTCAAATATAAGTAATCATTTTTGATGTATTTTGGAGAGAGAACCTCCTTGTGTGTTAATTCTACACATTAGTTGAATATAAATATTATTGCAAAATTGAAATACTACCATAATTAATGGATAATTTTGCGTACAATAACAATTACTTAAAAAATTCAAATAGGGAATTCCCTGGCGGTCCAGTGGTTAGGACTCTGCGTTTTCACTGCCGAGGGCCCAGGTTCAATGGTGGGGGAACTAAGATCCTGCAAGCTGTGTGCGGCATGGCCAAAAAAAAAATTCAAATAGTTAAAGATATAGGAAACAGATTGTCAATTGATATGAAGTGTAAGAAAGAGTGGGTTAGAAAAATAACTATAGGGAGAAATTTCTGAACCAAAAATGCTAATAAAAAGCTAAATACTATAGAAAAGAATAATAGAGTTTACATTATAGCATGACTCGAATGATTATAGAATGGTTTGATATACTAGCATTCACAAAACTAACAAATTTCAAGAACTATTTTTAGCTTTGTGTCACTTAATTCCATTTAGGCCAAAGATATTTCAGTAAAATTTGTCACAGCTTGTGAGGATGTAATTTGTCCCCTCAACATTCCATAAGAAAGAGAAAAACTCCAAAACCATGTACAACATCATCTATGATAAACCATCATCTGTCTAAATACAGTATATAAATAATGTATAAAAAAGAAAATTTTCAGGAAAAAAAATGAGGTAAACAAAACATATTTTCTTCTCACTGATCAGATTTCAAAGTAATAGACATCACAAGGGTGCTTTAAGATAGTTTTTCATAGTTTTGAGTCCTAGGAGGTTAAAAACGTAAACAATATACTCGATAAAAGAACTGAATAGAATGCCATTAATTTTCAGTAATTAAAGATGATGTATTTTTGAGATTTGTTCAAGCTATGAATTCCAGGTCAAAAAAAAAACAACTATGATATTAGAAAACTTACTCCTAATATCTGCTATGCAGAAAAGGCAATATTATCAGTAATATTTCTGATATACGCTTACTTTTGATTAGTATTTCCATGGTGTACCTGAATCCATTTTATTGTTTTTAACATTTCTTATCCTTATATTTCAACTGAATCCCTTGACAGCATCATATAACTTAGTTTTTTGTTTTTTACTCCTTGCTGACAATATTTGCTTTTACTTGCAGCATTTAGTTCATTTATATTTAATGTAATTGTTGAGGCATTTGGATTTAGATATCTCATCATTTGTGTTTTGTCTCACCTGATCTATGTGGCTTTTCCTCTCCTGTCTTCTATTAAGTTAATAAAGATTTTTTATTCATTATTTCTTTCTTCCACTCCATTAGCTTTTATTTTTCTTTTCATGATTACCCTTTGAATTTACAACAGGTGTCTTTGACTTATTAAAGTCTACCATAAATTAGTACTTTACTAATTCCCACATATGGTATAATATTGTGATATAATAAGAGAGATAAATTTTGGTCTTCATCCCCAGCTCCTGGTCGGTGCTCCTAAAACTCTTTATAATTTCCTAAGTGATAAAGGTGCTAGGAACATCTTTTGTCCTAATATTTGGTCTTTGATTTTGGTTCCTGACAGAGATTTCCTAAACCCCTTGGAATTTCCTGGGTGATAGGAGCATCTTTTGTTCTAATGAGGTGACTCTTGGTGGGCTCC